GGTGTGGCAATGTGGGTTAATGCGCTGGGCTGGGTTGCAAGGTCGGCGGTTCAAGCTTACCAGCTGCTCCTTGGAAACCTTATACAGGGTCGCTATGGGTCGGAACTGACTCAACTGCACTTAACAATAACAAATGTCGTCAAACTCCATGCATACGGTATTATGACCTCATTTCTCCTATTGGCTGCATAGTATTCTATTATATGTATTTACAGCCATCTGTTAATGGGCATTTAGGCTACTGTGGATAGTATGGCAGGGACATTGGTGTCTAAGTCTCTGCTTTTATGTCTTTTGAGTATCTAGCAAGGAGTGGAATGATTGAGTCATACGGTGTGGCGTTGCAGCATAAGCACTAGACAGCAGTCAGAGACTTACATCCACCAGCCACTTCTTGGAAACCCTGTGAGTCAGAACTGACTCAATGGCACTTAACAACATCCATTACTGTAGCAATACAAAACAGTCCTGTGGAAAACAGTGTGGTGGTTCCTCAAAACAACTAAAAATAGAACTACCATTGTTGTTGTTGTTGTTGTTAAATGCTGTGGAATCAGTCCTGACTCATAGCGACCCTGTATATAGGATTTCCGAGGAGCAATTAGTGGGTCTGAACGGCCGACCTTGTGGTTCAAAGTCCAGTGCTGATCCTACAGCGCCACAGTGGATAGGGGTTCCAATTTCCCTTCATCCTTACCAACATTATTTATCCATTTATTTGTATTCTTAGCTATCCTTGTTGTTGTTAAGTGCCACTGAGTCAATTCTGACTCAGTGACCCTGTATAGGGTTTCCAAGAAGCAACTGGTGGGTTTGAACTGCCAACTTTGTGGTTAGCAGTCCAGTGCTTATCCTACAGTGCCACACCAGGACTCCAGCTATCCTGGTTGTGGTGGTGGTGTGCCGAGGAGTCGGTTCCGAGTCATAGCGACCCTGTATAGGGTTTCCGAGGCTGTAAATCTTTATGGGAGCAGAAAGCCTCATCTTTCTCCGGTGGAATGGCTAGTAGTTTCAAACTACTGTCCTTGAGGTTCGCAGCCTGACTCGTAACCACTATGCTACCAGAGCTCCTTCTAGCTATCCTAGTGGGAGTTATTTCAATGCTTGGAAAATATTATAAAATATATTAAAAAAAAAAAGACAGGTCTGTGTGCATGTTTTGTCATCTTCACACGTTCGCAACTAAGGACTGGTTCTTGCGCCTCGCCTCTAACTCCCAGAATTCTCTTGAACTTCATACAGTTTACCTCCAAGGACAAAGAGAGTTATTCTCTTAAAACTATCCATTTGTATCACGCTCCTCTCCTTTCTAGGAGCTCCCATTCATGGCCTCTTGAATGGACTTAGAACTCCTGAAGACACTTGAGAACTTTCTCTCATCTTGGTGCTTACAGACATTCTGACCCTTTGTTAGTTAGTTCATTCTTTTTAACCCCAGCCTTTGTCTCGGTGGGGAAAAGAATGTTTACTCTTTGGAAAGCATGCCATTCTCTGTATGAAACAATTTATGTTCTCTTAACCTTTCTTACAAAGCCTCACTTTGCTTTATACCTGTCCCCCAGCCGGCTCAGCTGTCACCTCAGTATCAATTTGCAAACATTTCCAATATTTGAAACTCATTCTGGGTCTGCTAATGTGTGATTGCATGTATCTATCATCCTACTTCTCCTTCTGACTTATCTCAACTAGCTACTCCCTCAAGGAAGGTACACAGTGTCCTCGAAACACTCAGTAAGCTAAATACAGTGACCCAATAGGTAAAGTAGATGATATATTGCCACAGCAGATCAGAGAAGCCAAAGAAATACCAAGAAGTAGCTAAGGATAGAAGACAGAAAGACACTGTAGTGTTGAGATCATCAGGTGTTATGCTTATGAATTGGTGAGCAGTGGACAGCTCTTTTCCCCTGAGAAGTGTAAGGTCTTTCATGTGCAATTACTGTACACATGTCTGGACGAGGACCCAAGGACCAGCTCTGTAAAGGGAAGCAGAAATTTGGGTTCCAATTTCTAACTCAACCACTGATGTGCTCACAATGAAATGGTGAACAATTATCTTCATTCCTCTGTGTTTAATTCTATTTGTAAAGTAAGTATTTTCTTTTCTTCCCCCATCTCATCTTCATTCACTCACTAACCGATCACATCCAGTTCTATAGCTTTAAATACCATCCATATGTTCATGAGAAATGTATATCTATAGCTCCAACCTTTCCCTTGAATTTGAGACTCATAAATCTTTTTACTCTACATCTTCACCTAGATATATCTGTTGGACATCTCAAATGTAATATATCTAAAACCAAACTCTTTATCCCGTATCTAAACTGACTCCACCCTATTTCAGTAAATTGCAATTTTACCCCTTCAAAAACCTTCATTTTGACTTCTCTGTCATATCTTACAACTAGAAGATTTGTTAGCTCTATCTTTGTCATAGGAGTCCTGATGTGGCACTGTAGGATAAGCACCGGACTACAAGGTCAGTTTATACCATAAGGACTATGATTCAAACTCATCAGTCACTCCTCTGAAACCCTATACAGAGTCACTATGAGTTTAAACCGATTCAATGACACCAAACAACACCACCACCATCATCTTTGTCATAAACTGAATTACGCCTCCCCAAAATGTGTGTCCACTGGGCGGGGCCATGATACTCAGTGGTTTAGCAGTTTTGTAGTGATGTAATATGACAGTTATATGATGATTCCCCATGACAATCTGATGTGATAAACCCATAAGAAGATTATCCTATTATCACAAGAGATAAAAGGAGAGATAAGCCAGAAGAGATCAGAGGAATCTACTGCCATCAAGACAGAAGAGCCAGGAGTGGAGTACATCCTTAAGGCGAGGGGTCCGTGCTCTGTGAAGCTCCTAGGTCCAGGGAAAGACTAATGCCAAGACACACGGAGACCGCCAAGGAATGCTGGATCTACACATGCTAAAGGAGACAAGGACATTTCTCCAGAGTCAGCATCTGAATTGGGCCTTGGATTCTCCTAAACTGTGGGAGAATACATTTCTGTTTGTTAAATCCATTCACTTGTGCTACTTCTGTTATAGCAGCCGTACATAACTCAGACAACCTTCACAATAAATCCAAAATACAACTACTTCCCACCACCTCCACAGACACCATCCTGATCTAACCTAATACCATCTTTGACCTAGATTACCAAGATAGTCTAACTGGCCCCCTTGCTTCCACCCTCGTGCCCTTGAAGTCTATTGTCTAGACAGAAGCTAGCGTGATCATTTAAAAAAGCCATTCAGATTGTGTTGCTCCTCTACTCAAAGCCTGCCTTTGACTTTCACAATTTGAATAAAATCCAAAGTGTTTTTCATGGCATTCAAAGCGCCTCACAGGTTTATTCTTGATCTCTCTGATCTCATTTCCTAGAAAACTCCCCCTTGTTTACCCACCTCAGGCCACACAGATGCCTTCCTTTTCCTAGAATATGCCAACTGCCCTATCCAAATAGGATTTCTTTGGAGTCCTAGAGTGGCACTGTGGGTTAATGCACTGGACTGCAAAGTCGGTTTGAACCACAAGGTCGGTGGTTTAAGCTCACCAGCTGCTCCTAGGAAGGCCTATATGGGGTCGCTATGGTTCAGAACTGACTTGACGGCACTTAACAACTGTCCAAATAGCATTCCATGCCAACATCACTTTCTAGATTATCTATCCTGTCTTATTTTTCTAAACAGCATCTATAGTGATCTGACTTGCCTAACTAGAATGTACACTTTTATATAAGCACAGAAACATCTGCTTCATTCATAGCTGTTTTTACCCTGTATCTAGAAGTGTTCTCCTGTATTTGAAACCACCAATTTCTGCAAATGAAAGTCAAAGGATTCATCATTTCATTAAAAGAAGCAAAATTCTATGTCAGTTGCTCTTTGTAAAACACAAAGGCACAGTGTTAAAAGTAAAAATACTTTTAGAATGAAGCTAGAGTCCACAGCATCCATTAGGAATTCTAACTATAGAAATGGTGAAAAACATTCAGAGACACAAGCCTTCCAGATGCATAACAATCTACAAGCATGTGACAGAGGTCATGTGCCCAATTAAGTGAATATTGTTGTTACATATTCACCAACTCATAAACACAGAATGCCCCAGACCTGACTATCCTGATGACTCTGCTTGGAAGAAGGAGTTAATATCATAGACTAGAAAATCTCTAGGCATGTGCCATGCAGGTGACACACACACACAAGCTGCCTAGCATGAATTCCGTGAATTCCTAGCCCAGATCTGAAGGCCAAACAAGAAAGTCTCATGACCAGCTGGGGCCAGGGGCATTCTTCAGCCTGACCGTCCCCTCTAACCACTCTGCCAGTTAAGGTTAAAGAGGTCTCTTAGTCTCTTAGTTATTCATGATGTTGCACTTCTCAAATGAGTATTTCTGATACCTTTCCTTAAACGTTTTAAAAATTGATTCATAATAAAAAAATAGGACTTTAATTCAATTTCTACGTCTAAGGCTACTTATTATGCTTGTCCTTACTACACCTCCGTGTTGGCTTCTGTACCCTTTGCCCCACAAACTCGTCACACATCTCCATACAGTGTCGCCAACCTGCCACCACTTCAAACGGCTCTACCCACATAGTTAATATTCACAAACCGCCTGTTGTGCTCAACTCCCAGACCTCCCCTCAGTCATTCACATCCCTTAAGTGCCCTTCCCATCACCAACATCTCACTGTCTCCGTAAAACAGCCATTTGCACAAACTCCACTTTCCGTAACCAACGGCCACCGAAACCCCGTCCCATCCCCGTTCCCCCAACATCCTCTTTACACACTGTATCCCAATCCATCGCCTGGGTCACTACCCTCACTGCCCACCTCCCCTTAACGTCCCACTAACCCCACCCCTTCACGTAAGGCCTGTCCCTTACCGTGGGGGTGGGGAAAGGAGGGGGGTTCAGCCAGCTGCGCCGGAAACCCCGCCCCCTCTGGTTGCTAGGCTCCGACAGCCGGAAGTCCCGCCCAATTGTAGTCGCCGCCGCAGCCGCCGCCGCCGTCGTTTTTGTTGTTGTGGTCGGTGCGCTGAACTCCTCGGCTCAGAGAGCCGTGTCCGTCCCCTTCTCGCCGCCGCCATGAAGTGGATGTTCAAGGAGGACCACTCGTTGGGTAAACACTCAGTTGCCGGCTGGGCCTAGGGGTGTCGGGGCAGCGGGTGTGCCCCCTCCCCCCTTAGGCCTCCCTGGGCCTGGCCCGGCGGGGCGGATGCCCTGTCCCAGACTTGGACCACCGACCTTCGGGCACTCCCGGCAGCCGCCTTCAGAGCCCTCCGCGGGCCCGGCCGGGAGCCAGGGGGCCCTTGAACCACGGACGCAGGGACGCCCGAACTAGGGCCTGGGGCGTGCGCAGGTCGCCGGGGGAGCCGGGCGGGGGGCTCGGGAACCGTCTGTCAGCTCCTTGTGTTTCCCCCCCACAGAACACAGATGCGTGGAATCCGCGAAAATCCGCGCGAAATACCCCGACCGGGTTCCGGTGAGTATTGGGCCTCCCGCCCCCTCACCTCGCTGTTACCCCTGCCGTGTAGGGTCCCAGGACATTCAGCAGTTGACAAGTTGAGTGTCAGTTGTGGTCGCTGAAGGCGGGCCTGGATTAGGGCGGTCAGGGGCTGGGCCGGAGGGGGCTCGGGCGGGTGCTGTTCAGAGTTCCTCAGTGCTGACTACCGATCTAGGCCAGCGAGCTGAATGCAGCCTCTGGCTCCCTCGCTAATTATATAAGGATCGTTGTTCTAGGACAGGGCAACAGGTCACTGCCACTTTTGGAAATGGTGGTGGAGGGAGATCGTCACTTTGGTCTTGGAAGGGCTACTTCAGACTCAGGACATTGAACAGTAGCGTCAAGCCTCCATCTTTAGCTAACTTCTACTCCTTTTCCCGTCCCTGACCTTGTCATCATCCCTGGTAGCCAGAAAAACGCTGGAAGGCATTGAAGCCCCGTCTCCCCTGGTTTCCCATAATTGACAATAAATCTCATGCTCTATTTCGTCCATGCTGAAGTGGATGGTTTTGGTAATCGTTATTGATTGCTGAAAAACATCCAGACTGCTACTGAATCTCTTTGCCTGTGAACTGTTCTTTTGGGAATGGGGTACAGTTGAAACAGTTCACATAGAAGCAACAGGCCAGATGAAGAGCTTGGTTTTTGACTGGCTGAGATTACTAGTCATTGCTATTAGTACATTTATTCTTGTCTCTTGGCTTCCTTGGGATATTAATTCTCCTATAGTGAGAAGGTGAATCCAGTTTAGGGTCTTGGAGTAACAGGCTGTACATGAAATTCTCACAAGGTAGATCTTCTTGGGTCTTCCTTGAACCATTGAAAAACTTAGCAGTTAGAGCTGTGTTTCTCTAACCCAGGTTGAGATCAGAGATGAGAAATAGAATCGACCACAGAAAAGCACTTATTGTTTCCATGTAACACAATTATATCAGCTCGCAACCTCCATTGTGTGTGGTTTATTAAGCCAGGGACTTATTTTCTAATGCTGTTCAGTTTCCCACCCACCTTCCAGCCCACACTCTGTGCAGCAATTCCCCTGACAATTTGAGGTCAGGGCCTGACTTGAGAAATCCAGTCCTGATGCCTCTTTGCTTTCCCAGGTGATCGTGGAAAAAGTCTCTGGCTCTCAGATTGTTGACATTGACAAACGGAAGTACCTGGTTCCATCTGACATCACTGTGGCTCAGTTCATGTGGATCATCAGGAAAAGGATCCAGCTTCCTTCTGAAAAGGCGATCTTCCTCTTTGTGGACAAGACAGTCCCACAGTCCAGGTGAGAGGCGGTCACCAGATGGCCTTTGTTTACAGGCCATCTGCTTAACTGCTCACAGAACTTAAGAGTTTTGGAGGTCTAAAAGGTGGAAAACTGAGTGTGTGCTTCAGGAAGATGAGGAAGGGTTGCAGTGCATGGAATGGACTTTGGGTTCAGAAGGTAGACCACCACTGGAGTTGGTTTATAAGATGGAACCTAGCCTCAGATCCCCAGGTATCCTTTAAGAGTCTGCCTTGGAACAAAGATCTGAAATAATGTTTCATCCAGGTCAGGAATGTTCTCTACCTGGACCTATGGTCCCTGCTGGGACTCAGCTTCAGCTCACTGCCCTGCCTGCTTGCTCTCAAAACTCGGTCCACCCTTGCCCACTGCGTGAGTCTGGAGCTGCCTGATGGGCACAGAAGTGAAAATGGCTGCTGTCCACTGATGGCTTCTTTGTACCACCTGCTTTGACAGGCAAAGTAACAGCTTCTATACTTGCCAATTTGCTGCCTACTTCTAGTCAGGAGTATTACAATTCCTCTCTTCCATGTAGGTGACAACCCAGCGTTAGCTGGTTGTGGAAAGAGAAGCGGGGCAGGCCTCTCCTATTACTGAGGGAGTACGTGCAAGACCCAGAACCAGGTTCTGAACCTTTCCTTGCCCGGGAGTGGGAATTCCAGGCTGTGTGTTATCCTGATGACCTAAGACGAGTTCAAGTTTCTTCTGTTACACTACATATTTAGTAGTATTTCTAAAACTCACTGCTTTCAGAATTCCTGGAAAATAGTCCAATGTCACCAAAATAGACTCTTCTTGAAAAATCCTTGAAGAGACCTCAGCCAAATTCCAGACCTTTTATTTTGACTAAAGGTAGAAAGCTCTGACTGTTTTGAGGTCTGGTTTCCACTTCCTGATGTTTGGTAGAAAGGCAGGACACGAGAGAAACAGAAGACTCTTCCTTAAAGCCATCGTCTTCCTTAGAGACAGGCCATTGATGTGTGACAGCTGTGCTGATCTTGTCACCACCACCACCACCACCACCTCACCCCCCCATTGGTCTTTTCCGGCTTTCCTTCACAGAGCTCTGGGCAGTGTGTTGCTCAGTGAATGAATCACCTGGGGAGGAAGCCCTAGACATCTGTGGTCACTCTCTACCTCTCTTACAGTTGTTACTGTTTTGAAGTGCCGTGGAGTCAATTCCAACGTATGTAGAGTGAGCCTGTATAGAGTTTCCGAGGAATAGCTGGTGAGTTTCAACTGCCGACTTTGCAGTTCAAACTGGCCTTGTGGACCAGTGCTTATTCTACAGTGCCACACCAGAATTCCTTGTTAGGACTGTGCTGAGGTAAATCTTCATTCCTTCCCACCTGGAACTTCAGCAGGGCCTTGGCCACCCAGTGTTTCTTCCTTCTTGGAGGTGGCTTTTTAGAGGGAGGAGGAGGAAGGTGACTAGTACCCATGGCATTGAGTTTGTGTTCCTCAGTTCTCTCTGGTCCTTCCATCCTTCTGAAGGAGAGTGAAGGAAGTGAAGCAGGCTTCTGGAGACTTGCTGTGGCTCCACCTTAATGGCACCCTTACAAAGACTGCTGCACTCACCAGCTGCCCCCTCCCCCATTACCCCCCAAGATATAAATAGAATTGGAAGTGAAAAGTGATTCTCTGTCCCAGCAGCAGATGTTGCTTCATGGCCATTTTCTTTCCAGGTCCATTTGCCTACACTAGTGACCTAAAGTGGATTCTACCAGCCACCTAAGGCTGGATTGTTGGACAAAGTAGCCAGGACCCCAACTGCTGGCAGGCCCTCCCCTTCCAGTGCTGTGTTCACAGAGCGCCTGAGGTTTCCCGGTCCACAGCCCCCCTACCCAGGCCCTTTGCGTGGGGGGCCCTAGTCTGTGACTTCCCTCCCCACACTTGAGGCAGCAGAGCCTGGTTCATTGTGGGTTTTATTAAAAACAAATTTGTGTATCAACAAAGGAGGCAGGTGACATCATTGGGCTTTATGCAAATGCTGGTCACCTGATAGCACAAATGATAGTGCCTTCCCAAACCCCAGACCTGCTGCTGCTGACTCATAGTAGAACTGCCCCCTAGGGTTTCCAAGGCTGGAAAGCTTTCCTGAAGTAAACTGCCACAGCTTTCTCCTGTGGGGCGGCTGCGAGTTCAAATGGCCGACTTTCTGGTTAGCAGTCAAGTGCTTTACCCATGATGCCACCAGGGTTAGTTAAAAATGCCTTCGGGTCCACTTCAGCTGCTGTGACTTGGCCTCAGCTCCTCCTCTGCCTGGTAGTTTCTGTTCTTTCTAGCTCTTTGGGGAACCTGAGGCTTCCGCTAACAGTCGGCTAATGTGTGTAGCCTTCCAAGAGTGGCAGGGAGATAAGATGAGAACGCAGGGCTCCAGCCTGCAGGAGCCCTCCCCCACCCCAACACAGATTCTAGAAGATGAAACAGAAAACCCAAATCCATTCCAACTCCTAGCAACCCTACAGGACAGAGGTGAATGGCCCCATGGGCTTTCCAAGGCTGTTAGCTCTATAGAAACGGACCATCACATCTTCTTCCCATAGATCAGCTGATGGTTTTGAACTCCCAAATTTTGGGGTAGCTGCTGAGAGTTTTAAGCACTATGCCCACCAGGGGTCCATAGAAATAGAGACTGAGAAGGCATAAATAAGTTTAAGGGAATCACTAATTCTGTTAGGGCCTACTTCCTGAAGGCTCTTCGAGTTCTTGTTTCTTTTTTACAAAAGGGTTTTAAACCACCTTTTCTCATTTCGTGTTGGAGAGGTGATGTCTCCACTGAGGTGCCCACTGCATCAAGAATCAGGTCAAGAAGGAATGGGGAGCGAGGCTCTGGTGTAGACGGGACTTGAAAGGGAGCCTTCCTAAACAAGTTTCCTGGTTGTGGCGCTAGGCGGGAGCACCTCGGCCTGGCGGTGATCCTACCTTTTGGTCTTTGGGTAGAAAACAGACAAAAGTCTTGGTGACTCCTTTAAAATAGAAAGATTGCATTTACTAAATTGCATAACTCTCCATACGTAAAGCATTGGACTGCAAACCACAAGGTCGGTGGTTGGAGCCCACCATCCACTCTGCAGGAGAAAGATGAGGCTTTCTGCTCCCACAAAGATTTAAAGCCTAGAAACTTTATACAGGATTCTCTGTGAGGCAGAGCTGACTCAACAGCACTAAACAACACTAACAGGAAAATCTGATCCAAGAACTAACCTACTGTTAACTCTATCTCCGTCGCCTTCAGGGCCTTTCACTTTGTCCCAGTGCCTTTCCAGGGCCCACAGCACTGGTCCTTGTCCTCCCACTCTCTAGTGTGTGGGCTCCTGAGCAGATGGGTGGCCAGGTGTGCTCATAAATGTGGCCACCTCTGAGTCAGGCTGGACCCCACAGCCTCCATGACCTGACCTTGGAGCGAGGCTGAGGGGAGCTTCAGCAGGACTGGGTGTCTAAAAGGTTTAGGTCATCTTCTTTCCCATCCTAAGGCTATTGAGCAGCTTTAAAGTAATTTTTGCCCCTGGCAGCTTGCCCATTCATAAATGTTAGCCTGCTGATACTTACATTTATTACTGGTTTGCTTCTCTTTTGGAAAAGTGGATTTTGCCTGTGGTCTGAACAGAGAGACAGGAGGAAAGGATCCTAGGGAGAATTTAGATTCATTTCCCATAGTGTTTTAGGGCCCACCACTCCTTAGATGGGCTCCTTTTCCCGTGTCTCTCTCTCCTCAGACTCGTAGTTTAGAGGGTGTCAGTGCCCCTGGTTCCCAGCAGCAGCATCCTTCTTGGATGAGTGCATGTCTCGGGAAGAAGCATGTTCTGCTGGAGCCTGTACAACTCAGGCAGGAAGCCTTGGAGTTGTAATGTTGCTTGTGAGTTCTCAGGCCACCTCACAAGCTGCTGCAGCCGAGCCTCTTGGTGCATGAGAGCTGCACGTGTGTCAGGCTCTACAGCCTGCACAGCAGTGTGTGGCCCTGGCCTCTGAGTTCCTAGCGGGAAGCTCATCTTCTCAGAGATTTATGAAACTGGCAGAAAAGGGACACTCCCACCTTCCAGGGCTGCTGTGACGGCCTGCTGTAGGATCACCGTTTGCCTCCTGGCATTCACTTGAGTGCCCTTTTAATGGAACTTGTTCATTTTTTTTTTTTTTTTTTTTTTAACTGTGTTTATGGCTCAGCTGTTTATGGCTGCAGGCCAGGTTACTCTGACTGTGCATGTGTGTGGCCCGATGCCACAAGTATTATCTTCAAATCATTCGCCTGTCCACACGTGCTTGGCTGGCTTCATGATCCCCAGTTGTGCGGCCTTGAAATTGGTTTGGTGTTCAGTCTTGGGCTGCTAAATGGATTTCTTCAGCTCCCAGCACTGAGAATTGTCACTTATCAAGTTCCTGGCCCAAGGGCTATCCCGAGTAGAAGGACACAGCTGCTGCCAACTCAATAAAGTTTCCACATGAAGCTAGTGTGTCAGTGAAAGGGAGAAGAGTGCTAGGGCTCCCCAAGTCATTAGGCACCTACAACGAGCTATCAAGTTGCAGGATCTACAGGCGTGTGCTCGCTAAGACTTGCTACTCACGGAGTGATGTGACACTTCCCGCGCTGGCCTTCCCCAGAGCTTGTTAGAAATGCAGTGTCTTAGGCCTCTCTGAGACCTACCAACTCCAGATGGGCAGAGCAGCGAGATGCCAGGTGGGTGGTGCACACGTTGGTCTATGATGAGTGTTCTAAGGAAGGTCTCTGCTGACCGGCTTTTGCTGCTCCTGTCATTGGAACAGATCTTCTGTGCAGTTACCTGGAGGCAGCATGGCTTGGCAGTTACAGCATAGGCTGGCAGATACAAACTCTTCTAGCTTGGTGGCCTTGGATCACACATGCATTTGACCCCATGCCTCAGTTGTCTTAAGGAGTCTTGGTGGCATAGTGGATTACAAGTTGGGCTGCTAACCACAAGGTCAGTAGTTCCAATCTACCAGGTGCTCCATGGGAGAAAGATGAGGTCTTCTTCTTCCATATGAGCCGGAACCAACTCAGTGCATAGAATCACTGAGTGGGAACTTACTTGGTGCCACACACCCAGCACCACCACAGTGACCTTATCCGTAAACTGTAGAGGATGGTGTATTGGTAGTGCCTTCTCGTAAGATTGTGGTGAGGATAAAGAGTGAGTATCTGGAAAGCACTTAAAACACTATGTGACACATGGTGCTTACTCTAATAATGATGGTTTTTATTATTTGTCTCTGGAGCTGTGAGGATATTGGTTAAAGAAATGGGTAAACCCAAGATTTACCTCAAAGACAATAGAATCTAATGGCAGAAAGGAACAAACCACCTAATTATGGGCTCCTGCCAAAAGTGAGGGCCCAGAGTCTGAGAGCTTGCTGCAGATCCTAGTGGCTCTAGTTGTCATTGTTTGCTGTGTGCGGCATACCAAGTCTGGTTGGATTGGGCCACTGGGGTTTGTAAACTCAAGTCTTTCTAATTCAGCAGCTGTGATTTTCACTGGGGCTATAACTTTAACTTGTTAAGTAAATAAAGCACAGTGCGCAGTCTGTCAGAGGGCACCAAACCTAACAAGGGTGGCTTCTTTCAGATCGCCCACAGTGTCTGGTACTGCTGCGTCCCCACGTAAACTCATTTGGTCATGGGTACTGGGAGAGATGGTATGATAGTCCCATCATTGTCATCTGAAAACTGTGCTAAGTGGGGCAGAATGTGCGGCAATGGCCGCAGCTGGTTTTCCAGAGCTTCATTTTGAGGAACTTTAGCGAAAAGCCTGGGACTTTCTCACCAGTTGTTGTTGTTGTTATGTGCCATGGAGTCAGACCCTGTACAGGGTTTCCGAGGCTGTAAATCTTTATGGGAGCAGAAAGCCTTATCTTTCTCCTTTCTCCTGTGAAACAGCTGGTAGTTTCGAACTGCAGACCTTAAGGTTCGCAACCCGGTTCATAACCACTACACTACCAGAGCTCCTTAGGGTAAGAGAATTCTTGGGAGTAATTGTTAGGTGCCATGGGTCTGTTCCGACTCAGAACAAAACGCTGCCCAGTCCTGCGCCTTCCTCACAATTGTTAGGCTTGAGCCCATTGCTGTTGCCAACTGTACCAATTCATCTCAGTGGTTTTCCTTTTTCATTGTCCCTCCACTTCACCCTTACTGGTCTCTCTGTTGCATTCTGGTGGCTTGTGTGTTGCTGGAGGCTATGCCACGGGTATTTTAAATACCAGCAGGGTCACCCCTGGTGGACAGCTTTCAGTTGAGCTTCCAGACTGAGACAGACTAGGAAGAAAGCCTACTTCTGAATGTTTAGCCACTGAAAACCTTTTGAATAGTGGAACACCATAGTATTGAATTGGAACCCAGGTGTGGCACTGTAGGATAAGCATTCGACCATGAGGTCGGTTTGAACTGCAGGGTTGGTGGTTCAAACTCGCCAGCTGCTCCTAGGAAATCCTACAGAGGGCCTGTGTGGGTTGGAACTGACTAGAGGGCACTTAACAACAAATGAATTGGGTTATTCAGTTCTTTGTTTAAGCCCTTCTGCTACTTCCTAATCACCTGGCTGTTAAAGATGAGCATCTCAAAAAGCCCCAAACAAAACAAGAACACCTCCCTCCCTCTGGGCAGGTTCTCACCCTGAGCATTGAACATCTGATGCCTGGGTTCCACCTCTAGAGATTCTGAGTTATTGACTCTGGGGTAGGGTTGAGGCAGAGAGTTGTTTAACTGTGACCCTCCACCTTGGGTGTTTTCATGGGCAGGGTTTTGCCTCCCACCCACTGCCCCAAAGTCCTCACATGGTCTGAGACAATGCCATCAAGGATTATCACTTGAGCCACATACATCATTTAACATTACCTAGTAATCACCTTGGAGACCTGGTGTTGTGCTGTGGGCTAATGTGTCAGACTGCAAAGTCGTTTGAACTGCAAGGTTGGTGGTTCAAGCTCACCAGCTGCTCCTTGGAAACCCTATACAACAGGGTCGCTATGGGTCAGAATCAACTCTGTGACACTTAACACCGACAACAGTAATCACCTTGGAGCTCTGGTGTGATGCTGTGGGTTAATGTGTTGTTGGACTACGAGGTTGGTTTGAAATGCAAGGTCAGTGGTTCAAGTTCACCAGCCACTCTTCAGAAACTCTGTACAGGGCCACTATAGGTCAGAATCGACTGGATGGTACTTAACAACCATAATTAATCATTACCTTAAAAGATGAAACAAGTGAAATAATTTAATCTATTTTATTAGCATTTTGATTACATATTTCAATAACACTTTAGATATATAAAGTGTTATTTTAATGTCACCAACATTATATAGTTTACTTTTGAAAAAATTTTCCTTCATACTAAGTCTAGAAATCCTGTGTGGCATACTTTTGTTTGTTGTTAAGTATTTTGAGTCAATTCTGACCCTGTGTAGGGTTTCCAAGGAGGAGCTGGTGAGTTTGAACTGCCAGCTTTGCAGTCTAGTGCTTATCTATGGTGTCACAGTAAGACTCAGGTCAATTCAAACTGGCTGTATTTCAAGTGCTTGGTAGTCACCTATAGCTACTGGCTACTAGCTGGACATGACAGATGTAGAACGGTTCTCGGTACTGCAGTTTGGTCTATGGCATCCCAGCCTGAAAAATTTCTAGGGTAAGAGATCCCCACGGGGAATAGTGTTTTACTGCACAAGACGCGAATGCCAAGTCATTTCGTATTCATGTATTCATACTCATGTACCCCCACATTGTTACCTAATCCTCTCATTTACCCACACGGTTTACCAGGCTAGGCTTGCACATGGAGCTGAAGGAACAGGAAGGAAAAGGAAAATCTCTTTATAAATGTGGCCTGTTGTTAAGTGCTGTCCAGTTTCAACTCATAGCAACCCTGTATAGGGTTTCCGAGGAGAGGCTGGTGAACTGGGACTGCGGACCTTGTAGTTCAAACCTCAAACCGATCTTGAGGTCGAGTACTTATCCTAGGGCTGCACACCAGGACTCCAAGAGTGTCCTCAGTCTCTGATTTCTGCACTCAGTCAGCCAGGAGCCAGGCAGCAGAGTGGGCTGCCATTGTCTGCTGTATTAGCTGGAGGCCATGGAGCCTTCCCCATCTACCTTAGTGGAGCCTGCTTGAATGGGTCCTGCAGTCAAGCTTTTCTTGTAACCTATCCAGTGGAGTTCTAGTGTAGTGCTGTGGGTTAATGCTCCAGACTGCAAAGCCGTTTGAACTGCAAGGTCACCAGCTGCTCCTCAGAAACCCTATATGGTTACTATGGGTGGGAACCGACTCGATGGCACTTAACAACAACAACAACAACATCCAATCTAGTGACCTTGATGTCCCAGGCTGGCTCTTGGAAAGTGGACCTGGTGATGTCAGCATGAATGTAAGAGTCACATGGCCAGCGCTTGCCCAGGTTCCCCGTGTAGCTTGTTTTCCTCTGGAGCAGGCACAACTTGGCTTCAAGGCAGGGAACTAGCCTAGGTCTCCTTGCTGCAGTCTGTTTACAGTTAGGGAAAGCAGCTGACACACCCACACACATTTAGTTTGAGGAATATCTATTTCTGGAGAGTTCTTTCAGGGGTTGGGCAAGGCTTCTTTGGATTCAGAGAGCTCTTTTGCATTTAAATGTGAAACCAATGCAGATTGCTGGGGTTTTGGCGGGAGAATTTCTACAGAATGAAGCCATTTGTACCTATCCTGGTAGGTACACATTATACATCTTGAAGTAAAACCACAGTGGAGAGCATTGCCCAGTGTAAGCTTCCTTACCGAAATGACTCCAGGGCACAAAACCACCACCATTCTTCCTACGGCCTGGCCTCCTTCACCCACTCGGCGTCTTGAATTTGCCTAGGGTTTTCCTTGACTTTTACTTGTATGAACCAGCTACTCCCATTCGTGGAGTTGACCTCTTCAACCTTTTCAGGCCCAAATTATGTTCTGCTTTGGAACCATGTGTTACCAGTAATGGAAAACATTTTGAATAAAATGGGTGTGGTAATTTTTATTTATTTTGAGACCGTGGATTTTGGTACAATTAGTGGAGCTCATGGAGTCCTGGTGTGGCGCTGTAGGGTAATCACTGAACTGCTAACCACACAGTCGGTGGTTCAAACCTACCAGCCGCTCCTTGGGAACCTTATATACAGGATCCCTATGAGTTAGAACTGAGTCAGCGGTGCTTAACAATAAAAGCAAGAGCGATTCAAAACATTTGTGGAAAAATTCCATTTTTTTCTACAAACTTTAATTTAAAGTCCCCTCTTATATCTTAGGAGTCCTGGTGTGGCACTGTAGGATAAGCACTGGACTGCTAACTGCAAGGTTGGCAGTTTAAACCCACCAGCTATTTTTGGAAACTCTATGAGTTTGCTATGAGTTAAAACCAACTCGATAGCACTTAACAACTTAAGGCCCAAGGAGTTTCTGGTGCAGGCTTGGTGGGGTGAGGTCCATTTCTTCAGATTTGTGCAGTTATACAGCCCCCGACCAGAGGGCAATATGCACTACAAGTGGGATAGCAGCTTCCCACTAAACCCTAACCCACTGCCATCAAGCCCATTCTACCCTGCACCTGGGTTTATGAGACTGCTTCTTTATAGGAGCAGCAAGTCTCATCTTTCTCCTCACTATGCAGCTAGCAGTCCAATGCTCACGAAACCTAGAGGTGGGAAATGTAGGTGGACACTTGTGTCCCACTGGGCACTAAAGGACTAAAGGATTTACTCTCCGTGAAGGTGAGTGAGGTCAGATGGCCTTGTCTCGGGACCAAGGAGGCTGGGGACTTTGGTTTTAGTCTTACCTACTGACTCCTGGTACCCTAATTTATCTTAATGGTCCCTGTCCCCGTTTCCCTTTTGCAGCAGAACTCCCTATCTGCTGAATGGTGTTGTAGGGGACAGCTAGGGAGTGCTGGACTTTCTTATCCTCAAGCCATTTTGTTTCACATTCCAATTCTTAATGCTGTTTTCTGTTTTCTCATTCAAGCCTCACTATGGGACAGCTTTACGAGAAGGAAAAAGATGAAGATGGATTCTTGTATGTGGCCTACAGCGGAGAGAACACTTTTGGCTTCTGAAGGCCAGCGCTGGGCTAGGTGCACTGTTCCTGTTTGTGTATCTTGTAAATAGCCGGCCGTTTTCAGTTTACTTCAGACCCCTCTTGACATAGACCTATTAGTGCATTTGTAACTGGATTTATTTCTTATTCTACTGGAAGGGTTTGTTTCCTTAGACTAGTAAATGATCACACAGAGTTTTATTTGGATGTTTTCATTCTGTGCATTGTGCTCATGGCTCTGCTCCCAGGGAAGCTGTTCTTCTGGGCAGCCTACTTAATGAAGACATGTTCCCATTGAAGTGAGTGGGGCAGGTGGGGACTGAAGTGGAAAGGAGGGAGATGATAACGCTCGTTCTGGATTATGTTTGAAGTGTTAGATGGCTAAGTATTAAAAGCATCCAAATTAAATCCTTAGCAATCAGAACACTTGCTTCCCTAGATTTCTGCCAACTGCCAATCATGTTGGACTGAGCTAATCTGTTTTTCTTTCTGAAACTATGAAGGTAAATATTAACAATAAAACTTCCTCTTGTAAAGGCATTGCAGTGTGGCCATGTCCTTCATTCCCCTTTGTCTGGGTGCGTCAGAGAAGAGGGCTTGTGGGGCCAGGGAGAAGGACAGGTGTAGCCATACCAGTTCCTGAGGGACAGACGGGAGGACAGGAGTGGTGTAAGGCCACAGACTTCTCTACTGAGAAGAAACACCATTGTTCAAACAAGGACTCTTCTAAGGGAGCTGCAGTCCTTAAAAATGTTCCCAAAGCATCTTTTGAATAGTAGTGTAGTACCAGTGAGGCTCAAAAGTTTGTGGGGAAATCCATTATCTTTTAATTCTATTTTCCACAAACTTTCTGAAGCCTCCTTATATGTCCACCTGGTTTAAATATTGAAGCTACAGAAGAAAGTACGCCCACCACTATTTTCTGACCATCCCTGCCTCTTCTGGGGTCCTGCTTTTACTGTTTGTTGTATTTATTTTTGCAAGTACAATTAAATATGAATATATATCCTTAGTCTCTTTCTTATACACAAGAAAACATTGTTTACACTTACTTTGTGTTTTATACTTCACAGTATATTCCGATAATCTTCTATCTGTTCATGCCTTTTCATTCATCTTTACAACCACATAGGATTCTACTGGGGGCGATCCCATAGGTCTTTGACTAGTCCTCTGTTGGGGGGGTGTTTGTTTCGACATGATCCCTGGCTGGCGCCATGTTAGCACAACCATATACATATGTCCTTTTCTATGTGCCTTTGTTCTTTAAGGAGCTGCTCTCTCATTCCTGGCCTTGCATGTGATGTTTCTCTACCTCAGTTACCCCTCCCTCAAAACTGTTCCCCCCGGCACCACTCTTTCCCTTTATTAACTCCTAGTCCATCTCCTTCCCCACCCAACCACTCACATATCCCTAGTCCAATATAGTCTGTCTCCCTGGCGTCCGTCTCCCTGGTTGGGTGTCAGCCCTCCATCTCAGCCATCCTCACACTGTTCCCTGTCAGTGAGTGAGCAACAGAAGGAGACCACCATAGTCCTGCCTCTCCAGTGCATTGCCTAATACCTGGTCTACTGGTGGGCCTCACGAAGGACATGACTCACCTGCCCAGAACGGATCACCTGCTTAGCAAGTGCTTGTTGTATTGTGCTTTCGAGTCGGTTCTGACCCATAGCGACCCTGTACAGGGTTCCCGAGGCTGTAAATCTTTATGGGAGCAGAAAGCCTCATCTTTCTCCCGCAGAACAGCTGGTAGTTTCGAACTGCTGACCTTGCAGTTTGCAGCCCGATTCGTAACCACTACGCTACCAGATTTTAAGTCATGTGGCAGTGATTGAAACACTGGCCATGTGAAGAATATGGGGCAGGTTTGTGCACTGGACACCAATCCCAAAGGTGATCCAAGGAGCTCCCTCAGAATTTGGAAGGAGGCAAGATAAACATTCTTGTTCTCAGAAGCCCTGTTCTTCACTGGACTGAAGAGGAGAAAGGATTCAAAAGTCCAATATGTTCCCCTTGTCATCTTGACTTCCTTAGGGAGAGAAAACAGTCCTGGTGGATAATACCACACAAGATGATCTGTAGAGATCTTGAAGACCAACAGCTTGCTTCCTCGCCTCCTGTCCCTGCAGACAGACTGACTGATGCTTCCAGATGTGGGACAGAGTGGTGCATGCAAGCAGATGATGCACACATGGGATTCCCCCACAGACCAATAACCTTCAGAAGACCGTTTCTTTTCTTTTTCCATTTTCTTTCAGTTTTTCATTTTGACTTGGGTGAATGTTTACAGCGTAGATCGGTTGTCTGAGAATTCATTCATATTTTGTTTCATGTCATTGTTTGCAGCCTAGGTTCACCATGTAACTAACATAGGGGCCATTTGACTATAACATCATTTGTGGGCCATACAGAAGTATCAACTTAAAAATCAGCCTGCTATATTTGGTCAAACATGTAATTAACTCACTTCACAACAATGTCCTGGCTGGAGACTGCAGTGGGTTAATGCGCTGGACTGCAAAGTTGGTGTGAACCACAAGGTTGACAGTTCAAGCTCACCAGCTGCTCCTTGGAAGCCCTATACAGGGTCATTATGAGTCAGAACCAACTTGACAACACTTAACAACAACAACAATGTGATGGCTAGAGCCATGGTGTGGCACTGTAGGTCAATTAGAACCACAAGGTCAGCAGTTCAAACTCACTAGCCTCTCCTTGGAAACTCTATACAGGGTTACTATGAGGGAATCTACTCGACGGTGATAGCTGGAACTGTGGTTGCCTTGGCAGGGCCAGACCAGATGATTTCCTCATGGGTCGACGTTCCCAGCCCTGATGTAATATTTATCCCAGTTCCTCCCCACGCTTCCCATTTCCAGCGCCCTCGGCTCTATTCTGCCTTGTTGACCTCCAGTGGTTGCTGATTCTGAGGAGTGGGTATCTCCCTAGTAGCACCATTCACTGTGTAGTTTATTTGGCTGGAAGTTTTTTTTATGATTTTGAGTATTCCACATTTTCCCTCCTGTCTATCCAGGACCCTCTATTGTAATTCCTTTCAGAGAAGTCAGTGGTGGTATCTGGGTACCATCTACTTTTACTGGCTGGTTGCTATTAGGGATCATCGAGTTGGTTCCGACTCACAGGAACCCAAGACACAACAGAATGAAACACTGCCTGGTCCTGAGCCAGCCTCCCAATTATTAAGACTTGAGCCCACTGCTGTTGCCATTGTGCCAATCCATTTAGTTGGGGGTCTTTTCTCTTTTGCTGATAACCCTCCACCCTAGCTAGTATGATGTCCTCCTCCAGGGACTGGACCCTCCTGACAACATGGTCAAAGTCTGAGAGATGGAAGTCTTAACCATCCTGGCTTTTAAGGAGCACTCCAGGACTCTTACTTCTGCGGACATTCTTATGTTTATTAACAAACGCTCTGGGAATCTGGACTCGTAACTGGAAGTAGTCACTTAAGAGCTAAAGTAGCAAACAGGCTGTTGTTTCAAAGTGCTAGCCACTCTACAGGTTTAAGCAGTCCTCCTCACACCTACCTTGTCCATTCCATCCCTGCAACCCCATTGCCAAGCGAGGACAACGTAGTTAACGGCAAGAATAGTTTCCTGTAGAAGGGTCATTACAAGGCTGGTCCCTATGAGGTGGAACATAAAGAGCGCCCAAACATTGCACTTTAGTTCTAAAGTGTTACACCACTTCATAATCTCTGATACCGACCACTCCTGTATTCTCCCACCACATCCCAGGGGCTTGTAATTTCATGTGTCTCACAGAACTCACGGGCCATCATGGTTGTGAAGGCTGGCAAGTCCCAAATCCACCGTTCAGAAGGGAGTCTGGAGGATTCTCACACCAAATCGGAGGACTCATAAGGTTGTGGAAACTGGTGAATCAGGTCAGACCCGCCAACTCAAGTCCCAAGAAACAAAGATCAGAGAGAAGCAAGCTTGATTAGTTAAACAAGGAAGTGCACCGCTCCCGCAGAGTACCAAGAAGACTCATTGTATACTCATTCTATTGGATGGCTGACATTTCCAAGTGTTTACAATCACAACCAGCCCTGTTAGCAGTCACTCACAACTGAGCCATATAATGCTAATAGCATCTCTCCCCAGCAGGAAAATGTCCTTTGGTGGGAGTTACAAAGACATGGCTAGAATAGATATTTTAAATAACTGCATGCATTTAACCCAAGATCACATCCTGAAGCTAGAATTTAAACTCAAGTATAATATATTTTCCAGAAAAATCTATCTTTGTTTGGCTAAACCACAGCTTAAGAATCAAAGGCCTAGTACAAGGGGGCTTCAAAAGGTTACAGGAAAATGCAATGAAGAAATAATGGAATTTTCCCACCAACTTCTCGAAACCCCCTGGTATGGCCTTGATGATGATAGTGATAAAGCAAAGAGTGGAAATGGTTTTTCAGTAAAACCTGGGCTCTGAAAGTTAGTATGGAGGTTTGGCCTTACTCTGATGAGCCAGCATCAGAGTTGTTAAGTGCCACTGAGTCGGTTTCAACTCGTAGAGACCCTGTATAGGGTTTCCAAGGAGCAGCTGGTGAGCTTAAACTGCCAACCTTGCAGTTCAAACTGGCTTTGCCATCCAGTGCATGAACCCACAGTGCCACACCAGGACCCCAGCACCAGGGGTAGGGACCAGTTTTTCAATGTCCACCTGCAGGAAGGCACCTCAGTGGGAGGAAAAGCAATGGTCGAAAGTCACTTCACGTAGGGGCCCAGGCTGCCACGTGTTGATCCTCCAGCACTTGTTTCGGGATTTGGGCTTGCCTCCAAAAGGAGAAGAGTTCACAATCGAAACTGCTCAGGCAGCTAAGAGACTGAAAAGCACATTGAAACCCAGCACTGTTTCCCGGGGTAGAAGTGCAGTGGGCCCCTCGATTGTTGAAACCAAGCTGACAACAGAGCCCACTCTCAGCATCTTTCTTCAGCTCAACAACCAGGCCTTTATGTGCAGCCTCTCAGGAAATCTGGGAAACGATCCTGCAGGTAACCCAGGATTTATCCAAAAACAGGTGCCCAACCCCACCACATTTCTTCTGTTTCCTTTGAACTAGTTTGTCAGTTAAGTTTCCTGGAGAAGTTTCTCTTTGCATTTTCTACACAAGCACTATAGATTTTAAAGTGAGAAAACCTATTTTTCAGTTGAAAAAAACAACTGAGTATCATCTGGATATCACTGTGTTGAACAAGTAAAAGGTTACAAGTTAAAGGCTTTCTCCATATCCGCATAGGCAGCTAGTGGCAGAGGTCAAAGGTTAAGGGTCAGAGGTCATGGTGCAAAAGATCTGTCAAGTCCAGGGGTCAAAGCTCAAGTGTTGTAAGTCAAAGGTTAAGGGTCAAAGTTTAAAAGTAGAGTGCCTGGGGGATGAGTTTCAGGAGGCTGAGGTTGAAGTTCAGGGGTCAAAAGTCAAGGATCAAAGCAGCTTGAGCCTTTTACAGTGAGTATATATATATATATATATATATATATATATATATATATATATATTCTATTTATCTATATT